TCATCCCTGCAGCCCCAGACTCATGCAGCCCCTCTGTGTGCTGCCATATGTCATTCGTCCTACTGTGTCTAGAAGACCTTGTTTCTTTGGTGTCCTCCAACCCCTTTCGCTCTTACAATTTTTTCTGTCTCCTGTTTCATAAGATTCTTTGAACCCTGAGCAGAGAAACTTGATGGAAACATGCCATTTAGGACTGAGTTTTCCAAAGTTTCTCACTCTATGCACATTGTCCAGGTGTAGATCTCTGTACTTGTTTCCCATTTACTGTAGGAGGAAATGTTGATGATACTGATATTGATGATATTGGCTGAGTAAGGAACTGATCTATGAATATAGCAGTGTCATTAGGAGTCATTTTATGGTAACATTCCTCTGGCAAAACAGTATAAATTTGGTTTTCCCCTGTTCTCAGTTTCCTCACCAACTGAGCAGTATATGGGATGAGTTCTTTCTCATGGAGTGGGCTTTAAATCCAGTTAGATATTGTTGGCTAGTCCCATATTTTGTGCCACCATTGCACAAGCATGTCATGCAGGTAGGTCATCATTATAGATCCATGGTGTTTGCCTTTCTTGTTTGGTAGCATGCAGAGTAAATTCTAATACTATGAACAAGAGTCATTAGTGAATGAAGGCTCTAGTTTGGCACCATATCATCTTCTCCATGTTCAGTGAATTGTGTAGGTATTGTCTTCAGCAATAGGTACTTAATTTCTGTTTGGGGAGACCAACCAATAGTCTTAGCAATACTCATTTCTTATCTATCTGCTATAGTATATTTTAAGTGTGATTCCATTCAAGCCATGCACTTCGTTGTTATTTTTTTAAATAGTATCCTTCCTTTTCCAACTCTTTCAGAGTTTCCTTCATGTCTAAAAAAGTATCAAAGATAAAGTGATAGCTTAGCAGATAAAAGCAATTGTTCGTTTACAGGAGACTATCATAGTTAAGGTTTTTATTGCTGTGAAGAGACAACATGACCACAGCAACTTTTATAAAGGAAAAACTTTAACTGTGGCTAGCTTATGGTTTCAGTGGTTCAGTCCATTATCTTCATGGTGGGGAACATGGCACCATGCCAGCAGAAGTCCTGTGGGCTCTATCTTGGGTTGAAGGGAACAGGAAGTCAACACACAGTGTTAGTATCCTGAACATAGGATTCTCAAAGCCTGCCACCACAGTGACACACTTTCTCTACCAAGGCCATATCCACTCCAACAAAGCCACAACTCATAGTGCTACTCTCTGAGATTATGGGGGCCAATTACATTCATACTACCACAATGACCCAGGTTCTCTTCCTAGTATCACCCCATAACCTCTTCTGACTTCTCTGAGCATCAGGCAAAAACATAGTACATACTCAAATATATAAGAAAAACATTCACACACATAAAGTAAATCTAAAAATTAAGTAGAATGTGTAATTATAACATTATAAAATTATAACTTAATTTTCTTTAAAATAAGATGCATGAATTGAAAGGGAAAACTTGGGTGGTGCCACTTAAAAATATCTATGCCGAAGAGGAAGCAGAAGATTGCAAGAGCCAGAAGTGGTGGATGGCTTCAAAGAAGTAGCATTTTACAGATGCAAAAGGGCTGGTACGCATATGAATTTATAGAGACTGAGACAGCATGTACATGTCCTACACAAGTTCAAATCAAACAATATCTCAACAACGAAAATGGCATGTGCAGACAAGGTCCTACCCTTTGCCAAGAAATATTTTGCAATTGACCCCTGCTAAGAGATGGAAAATCAGTTTTCTTCAGTAGAGTATCACTGATTATATAAGCCATACTCCAGTGCATACCTCCTGCTCAGGAGTAGTTGGCCATCATAGTCCATCTCCATGGTGTTTATGTTTTGGTCTCTTTTGTTTTTGGGGTGGGCTTTGTTTTGTTTTTAGTATATACATAAATATTTTATATACATATGTACATGTATATACTTTTAATTTATTTTATTTTAATTAGAAAGAAAATTATTTTACATGTCAATCCCAGGTCCCTCGCCTTCCCCTCCTCCCTTGCCCTCCCCCCAACTATCACCCTACCTGTCCCATACCCTATCTGCTCCCCAGGGAGGGTAATGTCTTCCATGGGGGTCTTCAAAGTCTGTCATATATACTTTTTAAAGAGAGAGAAAGAATATGAACTTGGGTAGGTAGGGAGAAGTAAGGAACTTGGAAGAGAGGAGTTTGGGAAAAGAAAGAATATGACAAGATATATCGTAGCTGACTTTATGCAGCTGAGCTACACATTCACTCATACGTATTAATTATTCCCAATAACATTCAGGTACTGCCTGATATTTATTATGATGTAATTTTCAGGAATGATTGAGGAAGAACAAAGGTATACATGTTGGTTGAATTCTTTCCTTTCTTCCCTCCAAACCCTCCCATGAATCCCTCCTTTCACTCTTTCCAATCCATGTCCTCTTTTTCATCAATTCTTATTATGTGCACGCACTCGTGCACACGCACACGCACACGCGCGCACACACACACACACACATACACACACACACACACACACATACACACACACACACACACACATGTCTATACACATATACCCATATCTATTTCTAAATATACCCTGCTAAGTCTGTATAATGTTGCTTGTATGTGTAAGCTCTCATATTGAACTACAAACCCTCTCAAACAAGAAGGAAATTTTGTATTATACTGGAAACCTAGTTAACTGGTCAGTACCAGAGAAGTCGTGGATATTGGAGGAGAGCATACAACCTCTACTCTACTTAACAGGCAGAATCCCTCACAACCATCTAAACATTTGATACTCAGTTTTCATCCTGTACGCTGACTAGTAAATCATCACTTCTGGCTATAATGTGGGAAGTGTAGGAACCTATCACAGTGGCCTGCAGAATAGGGATATCTTCATCCTATCACACTTATCTATGCATTGAGTGCCAGGTGTGAAACCGCTGGGTTATAGCTTGTTTACACATTTGTTCACATTCTATTTTATTATAATTGATTATGTTCTGAAGTATCGTTTCTGTGAACACTTTTAAAGTCCAGTCTTCTTTTTGAAGAATCTTTGCATTATTTCTATCTGTAAGTTAGTCTGACTGATCACTCTCCCTGTCACTCTATCTCTCTCCTACTCTCCCTGGCCTCTGGTAACCACCAAACTTCTCCCAACTCTCATGAATCTGCTTTAGGTTGCAGGAGACTGAAATCAGATCACTTTCCATTTTAAAGAGAATGTTGGACACTCTAATGTGTCATCATTTTAAGACTAGAGTATCTTTTGAGCCTGCTAATTTTTAATCATTTTGTAACTTAAAAATATGTGCCTTACCTTTTAACTGAAACTTACCTTTTCCTTCATAGTGTTGAATATATTTCTGTGTTCTTCATGTCTATATATAGTTGAAATATCATCTACTGCCAACATTTATGCTATGTTTGATCATATTCATGATATTTGTATCTTCATTACACAAAGGTAGCAAATTACTCAGCTTCAACATGTTCAGGGGAGAAAATAATGTTTTCTTTTTAGCTACTCTTCTTTATCTCAGCACATTTTAGGAATGGGTAAAATTATCTACATAGAATCTGTTAGAAACAGATAAGTTAAAACCTGTAATAACTTTGGAAAGTAAAATATGTTTGTTTGGACATATGTTTACAGGTCTCTCTGCCAGCAAAATTATATCAGAAGCATTAATTCTAAAGAAATTACCACTATAATTAAGTGTTTACTTGGCAATCCAACTAAGATCTGGACATAAATTCAGAGCCTGTGGAGTTCTGTCATTGTTTTTGTTAGTATTGTAAATCAACACTAATAAAAGCCCTGACTCTATTGACTCTCAAGCAACATGTGAGTTCATCATCATAATAAGCTAACTCAGCAACATACCTCCTCTAAAGCAGAACTTATGGGCTATGGATGCATCTGTTTCCCTCACTTTCTTTAAAATGACTGTCCAGCCAGGTATTGTGGTATATAACAATAAGTCTTTCTGCCAAGCTGCCCGAGCCCTGTAACTTCAGTCCCATGACTGGGAAGGCAGAGGCAGACAGATCTCTGTAAATTTGAGGCCAAACTGGTTCTACATAGCAAATTCAAGGATAACCATGGCTAAGTAGAGATAACCTGTCTTAAAAATAAGTAAATATTTAACAATCCAATTAAGGATTTGGGTGAGATGTTTTCTGTAGTTCTTGACTTATTTTCAGTGAATCAGCTGCTGTTTATGGCATAGTACTGGACCTTCACAGTACTCAAAACTTTCTACATCCTCTCATTTAAAGGTCTGTATAGTGTTCAAGCTTCCCCTTTGATTGTGCAACAGAACTTTTTTTTTCTGATACACTTAAATGAGACATGAGGGCCTGTTATATACCAAGAGGACACATTAAAGACTCAAATCTTTTGGATATTATTGTTTTAAGCCCCCAGTCACCCCCCCTTTTTATAGAAACATGGATTTTGGTAGAACAGTTTGTGTATTGGTTAACAAGCAGGTATTCCTAGTGCCATTAAGCCTTTTGGGACAAGATTGATAGTAAACAGAGAAACATAAAACAAGTGTGTTCCCCTTGTTGCCTCTACCTCACAAGTACAGGTCACCCTGAGGCTTTCAGACTTTAGCCACTTTAAGTTCATCCTCAAGCCTGTAATTTTCTGTAACTAACAAATTGCCACACTGTCATAATCACTGTTCTAAGTTAAGTTGCTTCATGTCATCCCTTTAGTACATGTCTTATGCACTGTTGAGACTGTGTTTGCCTCAGATAGGCAGAGGCTACTTTAACCAGATTATTCAGTAGACACATTCGAGTTAAACTATTGCACACCGACCACCTGCTTCATATCAGCAAGTGTGCGTAAAGGTTTGAGAGAATAGTTTTGCAATATTTTCATTGTGATACATATGCCATTGTTGAGGAAGCAATTTAATATTTAATATAAATTACATATATAATCTGATTGCATTGCATTTTATTTTAGCCGCTGTTTGTAAAGAAGATTCCTTATTTTCAAGTCCTGATGTCACTGACATTGCACCCAGTAGGAAGAGAAGACATCATATGCAGAAGAATCTTGGGACAGAACCCAAAATGGCTCCGCAGGAGCAGCAGCTGCAGGGGAAGGAAAGGTGAGTGCTCTGTCTGATGTGAACCGGATCCTTGTATAAGGCAATTAAAATGTTAGAGCTTAAAGGTATGATATGGGGTGTTCTAAAGTGATGCAGAAAATATACTTTTCTGGTATTTGCTTAATTCTTATTAATATTTAAGGCAGACATACCAAAATATAAGCAGTTTTCTTTGTGTTTTTCCACAGTTTAATTAGAAATGGCATGTAGGATACTAAAAATATTAGAATGAATCTTGTGTTCAGTAAAGCATTTCAATCTAATTTATTGCTTAAACGACATGCAGATCACATTTGAACTAGCCACTCTGCAGGGTTATGGTTTTTTTTTCTCTCCTTCTAGCAAAATCCCTCTTTCTATTGATCTGTTTACTTATATCAAGAATTGGAGTTACATGCTTAATTTTACTCTTGATTTCAAACTTGAATTTATATTCTAATTTAATTGTAATGAATTTAAAGTAAAATTATAACAAAACAATGGACATTTTTCAAGACAAGATTTCTCTATGGCTTTGGAGGCTGTCCTGGAACTAGCTCTTGTAGACCAGGCTCGTCTCGAACTCACAGAGATCCACCTGCCTCTGCCTCCCGAGTGCTTGGATTAAAGGCATGCACCACCAATGCCCAGCTTGTTTGCTTTTCTTATAAGTCATGGTTGTCTTAGCAGATGGTATTGTTAGATCTCTGCAAAATGTGGGAAGTGGATACCTGAGGCTTTCCAGGCTCTTCCTTGGGGCTCCATGTGTTCCTCCTTCTTCAAGTTCATACCTGTGTGAGGCTGGGTTTTCTTTACATCCTCATTAAAATAATGTATTGTGGGTGATAAAATTCATAAGCAAATGAAAACTGAACTGCTTTCAGTTAAGCCAGGCACCAAACAGATTCATAAATGCATAAAACAATGTTGTCACAAACTGTTTGTTTCTTTGTTCAGAAAATGGGTTATTGTTTCATAAAAAAGTCTGTTATTCCTGTTAATGATAAAATAGTCCATGAATTTGAAAGAGAGTGGGGAGGGGTCCATGGATAGGTTTGGAGGAAGGAGAAGGAAGGGAGAAATGTTATAATGATATTGATGTCAAAGATTAAAAAAGCTTCATATGTGTATGTTATTCATGTTATCAGCATGATTTGTGTAATATTGAAATAATTAATGAATATGTTAGTGTTAATTTTCAAGATGTAGTCTGTAGTACACATTAGCAAGAATGTGAATCTAGCACTCTTGAGATGTTCAAAGTGTTTGAAAGTGTTTTAGTGATCCTGATACAAAAATGTTTTAGAGTTCTGTAAATAATGAGAATATGAAGGGAGGCATAAGCCCTGTCTCCAGAGTCTGGGAAGATTACAGCAGGATTTTTTAAAGTTTCTAGCATAAATAAGTATGACATAGTATGTAACAGCTCTCCTAGTCTATAATCCTGACAGTCTTATGGCTGGAGATTGTGGTTTATGCAAGTTCAAGGCCAGCCTTGTTATATAGTTAGTTCAAGGCCAACTAGCTATAAAGTGAGATCCTTTCCCCAAAACATACAGATAAAAATGTGATTAATTCAAATTTTTATTATTTGTTTCTACAAATGGCTTGATCTATTTGTCTGTTGCACAGGATCCATTGTGTATAGTATGTGTGTCCAGACAACATATCTACAAAAAAACTCCTGCTCTTTTATATTTCTCCTGAGTTTAGTCTTCACCTCTTAATCATTGGAAAGAGGTTGTATAATTCAAGGCATTTTACTTCTTTACAGAGTGAAAAAGAGTCATTCCTAAAATATAGTAGGGTTTTCATATTATTCTTACAGATAGTTATTTCAAGAATAAATTACCAGCCATCCAAAAAACTTGAGAGAATTCTTCCATTCATTTCACTAGTCAGTAAAATGTAACTCATGGGTGTCAGTTATGATGGGAAATCTTAAGAATCCAGGAGGGTCAAAAACAGAACCAGTTAACCAATATCTCTTACTGTCTTTGGTCTGATTTGTCTGATGAAAATCTTAGGCTGTAAGGAAGGAAATGTATTGGATGATGTGGTAGAATAGCATTTTTACCTTTCTAGTGCATTTGTGTAAAGTTTTAAGTTTACTATCACTCCCTATGTACCCGTTGTTGCAAAAACAAGCTTGTGATATATGCATGGTAGACAGGTGAAAAAAATCTTTGCTCTAAATCATGACTATTTTCATAAACCTTTAAATTAAAGTAATGTGCTTTCATTTCTAAAAAGTCCACATTATAATTTGAAATGATTCTGTTAGTTTTCCCATATATTTTCATCATTTTAAAAGTTGTCATAAACCATATCATCTTTTTTTTAGTTTTATGCCAATCCTTGTAGCACCATCTGTCAAGGCTATCCATATGTAGAGGTGAAAAGCATATATAAGAATTGTTAAGATTAAAGGCAGCTTGCTTTAGCATGTCAATCAGAGGTTGAGTCTCACACACCCTGCTTTATAATTCCTCTTTCATCATCCAACTGAAGTAAGCTATTAATGTATAAATTTGAGGGTTTTTTTTGTACTTTAGAATGTCTTTTTCATTTTAAATATACTAGGCTAAAATTTTAGAGTGCACACAAAATTTAAATACTTGTTCTACATTTCCATTTATTTGAGAAAAAGAAGCTTCCTGCAAAAATAAAAAAAAAAAAAAAATAGCCAGGTGTTGGTGGCGCACGCCTTTAATCCCAGCACTCGGGAGGGAGACGCAGGCGGATCTCTGTGAGTTGGAGGCCAGCCTGGTCTCCAGAACGGGTGCTAGGATAGGCTCCAAAGCTACTCAGAGAAACACTGTCTCGAAAAACAAAAACAAAAACAACAACAACAAAAAAACCTACATTCTTAGCAGGAAATGAAACAAAAAGCAACAATAACAATAAAAAATGGAATAAGATGTGACCAAGGGAGTAGGGGAGAGTGGAGGGTGATAAGGGTAAGATGGCTAAATATTCATGACTACCCTATTAAAAAAAACAAAACAAAACTTCTGTCTTATACTGCTTCTGAAACAATTTTTTTCTAACAAATTCTCATTAGAAATGTAACATTATTGGTTTAACACCATCAAAGCTTCCCAAGCAAATGGACTCTTAATATTTTAAAGCATTTCACTGATGATACAGCATTAATGGGTCACTATATTTTATATACTTGTTTATATGATTTTTCCTTCAGCTAATTGGACTGAAGAAGGTATAATATTTTTGTAAAGTTTACTAAAATATATAAAATGTTTCCTTTGGTTTATTTATAAGTTTATTCAGTAGAAATATCTCCTACAGTGAAATACAGTTCTGTTTTTGGTGAGTACTTATGTAACATGCCCAAAGTTCTGGGTTCAATCCTCTGCACTTTGGTCTGGTGATATACCCATGTAATCACAACCCTTGGGAGATGGAAGCAAGAGAATCACAAATTCAAGGTCAACTTCATTGTTGACTCCATAGTGAGCTCAATGCCTGTCTGTCCTAAATGTCATTGTCTCAAAGACATGGGGAAAGAGAGAAAAAGAGTATTAGTTGAAACCCATTTGGAATTTAAATATTTAGGTCCATCCCTTGCAAGATTATTTCCTGTGTCTCCCATGATGGCCTCATAGCCTCAATGTCTAGCAATCATTATATGTTGGCTACCTAACTGTACACTGACTAAGGAAATGCACAGTGATTATTATTGGGTTTTTTTTTTTTGTATGACTTCCCATACATTGCTCTGCAAAGTAATAGCCTTCCTTTATTTCATATAACTTAGTCTTTATGACAGATACAAATGGATATTTTTCCTTGATTTGAAGGTCTTCAGGATGTATCAGAACCATCATTTGCTCTATAACCTTAAGGGAAATGAGGAGTAAAACAGTGGAGTGGTATGGGAATAGCAGGTGTTCAATCCCAGTATAGGCTGGGAGGCCATGCTCAGAGCTGTGCATGTGTCAGGAGAGAGCAAGGCAGATGCTGCTGCTGGGTGCTGCTGTGAGGCCAACCATGGTGGGCATGTAGCCTTGTTCGGAACTATGTCTTTTCTCCCATTTAAGAGCATCTATGCCTTTAATATTATAGAACAACTTTCTCTTCTGTTTTTTTCTGCCTGTTGACACTGCTTTGTAACTCTTGTTAAGACAAATCAAATTATTCTCCCCATCCCACCTCCATACCCTTGGGACCTAGCATTGCAGTGCATGACAAGGCCCTTCTAGTTCTTCCCCATTTTCCATTTCGGGCCTTTCTTATATCCTATCTTCATACTTTGTGACTGGGCAGACCTGCAGAACCACACACCAAGGACCCAAAGCTGCCACAGTAGTCTGAGTTTCTGGTAGGGAATCTTTATGTTCCTTCCTGTTCTGGATTCCAGTATTAAATTTTAGTCCTGCTGCAGCATCCCTGCAGGAGCTGCTCCTCCTCCACCACCTCCATTTCCTAGGAATTTGGGTCTCTTGGTACAGACCCTGGGACTTCTAGTTTTTCTATACAACCCTTTCTGAATTTTCTTCTAGTCTGGCTTCATCCCTTTACTGTTTCTTCATATCTGGATGGTAAATCCCTATTTCTGAAGACATAACTTACTTATGTCATCCAACATGGAGGAATCAAGCTTTTTGCCAACTAAAGGCTTCATTTATCCTTACTTAAACTTCATGTTTATGGAAGGTACTTTGCATTCCTACGAGAGGAGAAAATTAGTCATAAATATTTCCCACCTATAATCCCAGTGATGAGCAGTGGTGACTTACCTGTATGTCATATATACTATTGCAAGAGAGATGGAAATATCATAGTAACCCACCATTTTTAAATGTTGGGTATAAGGCTTGCTCCATGAAATGGAACTCATACCTGACACTGCTTAAATGCCCAAGAACCTGAGACTAGATATGTCATGGACCCTTGTGGAAAAAAAATTAGTATTGTTATTCCACTAAATGAACATAGCAACAAAATGACTCCTAGTGACACATTGCTATACCACTAGATCAGGTCATCAGTCAGCTTTT